TAATTAATATATATTCAATATTAGTCTTGTTTCGATCGTCTCAATGAGATCTTTCAAATGGCAATTTATATTTAATAATGCAAACTTTAAATATAAGTATTTAACAAAATAAAAAATTACATATAAAACAAATAAATGATACGTTTGGAATTATTAAAAAAAAAAAAAAAAAAAAAAAGCAAGGGCAAAATGGAACTTTCCCTTTACGACACTGTTCATTATTGTAAAAAAAAAAATGGCGAGATGGCGTTTTAAGGCTGCACATTGGATATGAAAAATTTGGCAAAATGGTAGGATGACGCTAGAATTTGCAGCTGTTGGAGTTGCTCTTAAGATTGGAGATTCAACTTTTTGGGAAGAATTATATAAATAAGTATATATATGAAAGGCCCTTGTAAAGAATAATATTTCAATATATATATATATATATATATATATATATATATATATATATATATATATATATATATATATATATATATATATATGTGTGTGTGTGTGTGTGTGTGTGTGTGTGTGTGTGTGTGTGTGTGTGTGTGTGTGTGTGTGTAAGGGCATATACGAGCATCCTCAATAGTGGGGGTTTTGGTGTGATTAGGAAAAAAAAAATGAAAAAAGAGGTTAAAAAACAACCAAATGTCAACAAAATTCCAAATAAAAAAATTACAGGCTCTAAACGCGCCCAGTGAGTGCGTGACCGACTGATCGCTAATGTGCAGCCCATACCTCTAAACGCGCCCAGCGAGTGCGTGACCGACTGATCGCTAATGTGCAGCCCATACCTCTAAACGCGCCCAGCGAGTGCGTGACCGACTGATCGCTAATGTGCAGCCCACGCATAGCTTGCTGCTTTCTTCTTTTCTTTGTGGGACTCACACAAGGGGACAAAGCTAACAAATTTTTTTTTCTTGTAGGAAAAAGAAATCCCCAAAATCCACCACTCCCATTTGTCAAAAGCTTAGCAAAGGAGATCTTATTATTCCGAAAGTTATGAATGAACCCCTATTTGGGTTGCTCTAAGCACAATAATGTGTTAAAAAGTATCAATTAAACTTCTTTTTAAATATTTATATAGAACATTTTCTAATTTGGAGGTGAAATTAAATATTTTTTTTTTGGGAATAATTCAAAATCCTATTTGATGTTCTTCATAATGAAAAAATTGCAATTTTAATATACCCCACTCACCCGAAACGGAAACAGATGTTCTGCGAGTACTTGGTACTTCCATTCTTCCAAGTCAAGCAAAAACAGTTCAGTACCGCTCGACTTCCATCTCAGATCTGTTCTTCGAAAGTTTGGCCCCCAAATTCCGCCAAATTCACTGAGGTACTCCGTTCCTTTCCTCCATTAATCCTCGATCCATTGTATACTGTACAACTATGCCAGTTAATAATTAGTAGTTGTGGTTGTTAACTTGTTATGGCATTTTGTGGAACACTTTTGCCTTGATTCGGTGCAGAATTCACTTCCGTTACGTTCTTCTCTCCAATGTCTGAATTCAGCCTGTTTCTCTCTGTTTCTGTGGGCAAAATGCACTATATATATGTAATAATATGTACGTATGACTGTATGAGGAGTACAAATTGATGCAGTCTACCTGTGGACTTGCAGGCTAAAGCTTCCGATTCAATACTGAGAACTAGAGCTAATAGCCTCGTCAATGGCGGCAAGGAAGCCTGGTTTGATTGCTCTCTTTGATGTCGATGGTACACTCACTGCACCCCGGAAGGTATGAATGATCTCCCTACAGCTTCACTTTGATAGTTATTGATTCTCATATCCATGAATGTGTTACAATACTGAATTTATAGATGATATGGAGCACATGTTCATTTGAACTCGTGGATTTTTTACTCTGTTGTTTATAATTTTTGTTTTAAAAAAAATGTCCTGCAAGTTTAGTGGAGAGTGAGAATTTGTTGGAGATACAGTGGCAATTACATGTATGTAATAGTTTTTTTTTTAATTTTTTTTTTTTATTATTTGGATCTGACATTTGGTAATTTCAGGTGGTTACTCCAAAAATGTTAGAGTTCATGCGGGAGCTGAGAAAGGCACTTATTTTTCTCTGGATAGGCCTTTGATTTGTTTATTTGCTTATGTAAAATGATGCTGGCTTAAAGGCATTATCTGTTTGTAGGTGGTCACAGTTGGTGTTGTTGGAGGGTCTGACCTCATTAAGATATCAGAACAGCTTGGGAGTTCTGGTTAGCATCAATTTAAATCTTTTTGATATACGGGAATTTTGCCTTTCATCTCTTTGATGGGGTTTGTCAAATTGATGTTGTGGTTAATAGGCCTAGAATTCTCCACTAAAGACTTCTAAATCAATTTGTGTGATGCAGTTACAAATGATTATGATTATGTTTTCTCTGAGAATGGACTTGTAGCACATCATGATGGGAAGCTAATTGGTACTCAGGTATTGTTAGATCTCTCTCTCTCTCTCTTTCTCAGAGTTGTTTTGAATAATAATTTTTAGTTTAATATTTTATAAGGCAACAAAATCTTGGTCTATTGTTGCTTCTTCTGTTGAATGCACCAAACTTTTTACCAAAAGGCTGTCTCATGTATTTTTCTTTGTTTTAAATTGCTGGTGATCTGATGTCACTAGCTGTTAGCTCATAGTTTGTAGTGTGTGTCCTAAACTATATTCTGCAACTCAATCATGTAAAATGACTGGTTGAAAGTATAAACATTGACAAGCTAGTGACAAGGTATCATTCAAGATGAAAGATCAGTAAAGGATATTTCACAAAGCGCTATCATATGTTCATAACCACCTTAATCAGCTACAAGCTTGCAGCCACAATAATGTAAATCAGACGCGTGAGCTTAGTTTTGAAACTTTATTTTGCCTAGTTTTGCTTGGTGTTTCAAGGCATGAAACTCAATGTGCTACAATATACTCTGTATCTCATAAATAGTTTCTTTGATTTTGATATTGGTTGATTTGAAATTTTTCTCGTTTCTCACTTTCCATCCTAACTGATTTGATTCCACATGCACAGAGCTTGAAGTCCTTTCTTGGAGATGAAAAACTCAAGGTCAGTACTTGTCCAGTTGTCCGAATAACTTCAATGGCTTAAAAACTTAACATGTGTTTTCTCTTTTCATGAATGCACTAGTAAAACACGGATTTAGGAATCCCTTCATTATGCTGTGGGCTTATACTCCCAATCATGATGCAGGAATTCATTAATTTTACTCTCCACTACATTGCGGACCTGGATATCCCAATAAAAAGGTGATAGAAGAAAGATTTGAATAACAATTTTACTCCTCTGGCAAGCTTCTGAAACCTTTATCCTTTTTCCTTTAGGGGAACATTCATTGAGTTCCGCAGTGGCATGCTTAATGTGTCACCAATTGGAAGGAATTGTAGTCAGGAAGAACGAGATGAGTTTGAAAGATATGACAAGGTACATGATGACTTTATAAATTTGCTACAATAATTTTGGTATATTGTGATCATTCTAATTTGACTAATGGGTGACATACATTTAGGTTCACAAGATACGTGAAAAAATGGTTACAGTGCTTCGTGAAAAATTCGCACACCTTGATCTCACCTTTTCCATTGGTGGCCAGATCAGCTTTGATGTAAGTGCTTGTGATTGTTTTGCTTTTATGCTCAGTGGAAATTTATCAGTAAAATATTAAGTCAGGTGATTTCCAAAAATCTTTGTTGCAGGTTTTCCCTCGTGGCTGGGATAAGACGTATTGCTTGCAATACCTTAATGGTTTTAGTGAAATTCACTTTTTTGGTGACAAAACATACAAGGTAGCATTTTGCTTTCATTATTGTGCACCTAGAACCCTACCACTATCCTTGGTGTTTGTTCTATTATAAGCTAGATCCATTTAGTAAACTGTTGATTTGTTGCATTTATTTATTCTTTTCTCGGAAATTTGTTTCTCCCCCATTTTATCACCACACTTACGAGAAGTTTCAATTTGGTGTTGAAATAGGGAGGAAATGACTTTGAGATTTTCGTGTCTGAGAAAACTGTTGGTCACACAGGTGAGCTTTATGCCTAATCCATTTTTATGTTCAAGCAAGTAGAATTTAGCTTTTAGATGCTTTCGCTTCCAATTAAGCAATTACACCTAGAATACATTATTTAATCGGCTCAAAGGACACCCATACAGAATCTCTTACCTAGAGGCTAGAACAAGTCAATTATATGATTATAGCCTTTTAGGTCTGCTTACAAGTGGAGAAACTGGACATCTTTTTGTTGTGAAGTTTGCTTGCATTAAGTCTGCAGAAACTGGTATTAAGCGACTGTTTCTTTGTTACCAGTGACTAGCCCAGAAGACACGGCAAAGCAGTGTACAGAGCTGTTCCTATGCTAGGAAAATGGAGGCCTCATGAAATTCTTCAGCAATGCAAGTGATTTGTAATAGGGAGAGAATGCTTGTAGCTGCGTTGTATCCTTAAGCAAACTTAATTTACTCTTCATTTTGTCATATTTTCAGTAAGTAAAAAAACATTTCATTTTGTAATCGTAAAAAATATTTCGTCTTGTAATCTTCTCAATAAATTAAAAGCATTTTGTTTTGTAAAAACATTTCATTTTGTCATCTTTTCAGTAAAATACTAGATATAGTACAATTTATCAGGGAAATTATTCTGTGGATTCAGATCTAAAGATACACAATTTACATTGGAAGCTTACAATTCTAACGTTAAAAATACATAATTTAGGACCAAGATCTACCTTTTCATGGTCTTTGGTAAAACAACTGCAATTTATCTCTAATTAAACTCATTCATAGGGGTATGTGTCAATGTGAGTAGACTATAAATTTTGTGGGCCTTCGTGGGTCACCCACTTGAATTTGGAGGGTGTTATAATTGTTTAAATACACAAGTGAAAGAGACTAACATCAATTTAAACTCTTTAATTTCAACTATAATGAAAAATAGTTTACATTCTTGTAATTCTTTGCTGGCAAGAATCAAAATATACGAATATCACTTGTTCCTTCTATAATAGAAATCAAGAATACTCTCCTAGGCCAATACAAAAGAAGTGCAAATTAATTAAAGAAAACTAGAAAACAAAAAATTCTTTGAAAAAATTAAACCTCGGTCTTTATAACTGTCCATACATGCAAGCTAAGCTAGGTATCGCCCTCACCATGCCCATGCATATTGGTGTAACTGATCGAGATTGATCAATACAATGAATAACACGGCAAATATTGTGGATAATAGGAACTGTAATACGGCGGCGAAAACCACTCCGACTGCGCACTGCCGCTGTTATTATCATCCGTCGTACTCGCCTCCTCACTGACTACTTCACCCACACTGATCACATCAACCGAACCCAACTTCTTCCTCAGCCGACATGTCATCTCAACCGCATCAACTTCTCCGATCACCATGATCTCCTCCCTGCTTTCACCTTGCACCGTCATTGATCCCACGCCTAAATCACAGGTAGTCAGATCATATATATTAACACAATTCAGAGATCAATACTAAGCTACCTAGCTAGCTCGTCAATATAATATAATGGAACTTTTAGGGTTTAAACTGCAGATCGAAGAAATTAAATATCGATCTTAATTACATACCTTCTAGTTTCGCCACTATTTTCATAGCTGTGGCGCGGATCTTCTCTGTATTTAGGTTGGGGATTCTGACCACTATTTTCTGTTGCAAAACCAAATACACATTAAGTTTTGCACATATATATACACAATTTTGTAATTTGAAAACGTAAACTAAAGTACGTACCTTCATATTAGGAATGGAACAGTGTTTGTTCCCTACTATTTGATGACTCTGTTGTTTGGTTTAGTTTGTTATGTAAAGTTGTGATGTATATATGATGAAGAAGATGAATGGGGTTTAGATGTGAGTGATACGCCAACTCTATATATAGTATATACCCGCATACAGACACGCGGCGGGATTTGAAAGGACACAGCCGCGTTAATGTTCGTTAGGACGGTTGACGTGGTCTGTGTGACTGCGTCATCAATCTACCAACATTTACACGTCAAGTAATTGTAATTTAAGACTATTTCTTTCTTCTTCTTTTTTTTTTTTAATGCTATTGTCTCGATTACAATGTACTATATGTTCATAACTACTTTCTCAACCTATTGAAGTACAAAGAGGTGTAGGCTCAAATTCACAATCTCCCATATGAAAATCCAACTCGGGTGTCATTAGACCACAAATTAAAGTCTTGACAATTTAAGACTATTCCTTATCCATACTGTTTTTCTATTAAGTGGGAGGATCAATACTTGATGCCTACAAAGAGTCACCCATAATTGGAGTTACAAATTAAAGAGTTACCCTAAGACCATCTCCAACCCAACGCTATATCTCACCAAATCGCAAAAAAGGGCAAAAAATGAGATTCAATGGGACGGCAAAACACCAAATAATTTGGTGTTGAATGGCGCGGCACTGTTCATCCACACCATTTTATGGGGAACCATTTTTTCGCTATCTTGCCCTTTTGTCTTCTTTTATAATTCCTTTTGTATCCTTTTTGGTTTCTATATATTTACATCTTTTGTTAAATATTTAAACATAAATTATATATTATTTTAAAAAAATTAGATCATTTGAAGATCTCATCAAGATGATTAAAACAAGACTAATATTGAATATAATTTAATTAAAAATAAATTACATAAAACATAATTAAAGTTTAATTTATTAAATTACAACTATATGTTATATTAAAATAATAAAAGTATAAATATAAACTTTTAATTCATGAGAATATAAATTATTTTAGTGCACGGAATAAAATTTGGTGTAAATAGGTCGGAGATGAAAAAAATTTAGTGTAAGAATATGCTGAGAATATTCTTTTTAATATAAAATTTGGTATAGAATTTAATGTTTTAGGTTGAAGATGGTCTAATAGAAAGGTGAAACTCCTAAATTTATATATTCGAATTCAAAAACCGTCCACAATTTCTAAATTAAAGAAGCAATGTGGCCTAGGATTATAATCACTATATCACACTCTCATTTGTGGAGCCATGTGTGTGTTCCTATTGCTCAATTTTTAAAGTTAAAAATTGGGAGGGGATCAAATTTCTTTCACTTGGGCAACAAGGGTATGAAAAAATGATACTTAATATGATATTATATATATTGATTAGGTAGTTAAGTATGTAAAGTTCTCACGCAGTCAGACTTGCCATTATAAACAATAATTAAGCTTTAATCATCAGAAACTTCCTTGTTAAGTTGCATATATATAATACATTATTTATTCCAATTAAATTCCACAAAACAACTAACTACTACCATTATTTCATGTCATAAAGTCAATGCTGTCGTATAGTATGTGAAGCTCTGATCTACCTTTCAAACTTTGTGTATTACTTGGTTGTAAAGTTTTGGAAAGAAGTCAACTATAATTACTGTTTCTCTCAAGTCTTAAACACTTCAATTTAGTGCATTTACTATCAATTTCCGTCATTCTGATTGCTCCGTATTTTCCAGGCCAATAATTCTATACAATTTTCAAAATAAACTAATTGCTACTAACTTTTAAGTTTTCACTTTTAAGCTAGCATATAAGTTGGCAAAAATTTATGTGAAACGGTTTCATGAGTCTTTGTCTGTGAGATGGGTCAAGTCAAAATGAAATGTAATACTTATACTAACAAACGTAATACTAAATTAGGAATAAAATATTTATTACTTATATATAGAAAAATGTAATACTTTTATATCGATGCATGTAAAGACAAAAAATTGTGCCGTCTCGTGGGTCTCAATCCGTGAGACGGGTCGAATATTTGATTAATGATATCAAAGATCTGACTCATTAATCAACGATTCGACCCGTCTCACGGATTAAGAGTTTGAGACTCGTGAGACGGTTTCACACAAGTGTTACCCCGATGTAAAAGTATTACATCTTTCATCAAAAGTATTATATTTGCCTTTATAAGTGTAACATTACTTATAAGGAAAAATATAATATTTGTTATGAGAAAAGTAATATTTTTACATAAAAATGTATAAGTATTACATTTGCATATTGACTTGATTTGACCCGTTTCACAAATAAAACTCGTGAGACGGCCTCACACAAGTGTGACCCTATAAGTTAGGTTTGCCGGAGCTTAAGAAACTTGATATTTTATTCTTGATTTAGTATTATAATTGCAGTATAAGGGTTGGATTTGTATATTGATCCAACTTGACCCGCCTTACAAATAAAAATCTGTGAGACAGTATCCCACAAATGTAACTCTATATATAAGTTAGGTTTGCCAGAGCTTAAGAAACTTGATAATCATGCCGTAAATTTTTTATTTTTTATTTTAAGTCAAAGGCCAATTGGGCCTAACGTGAAATATGTACCATAGTTGATGGATCAAAAGTGAAAAAAAAAAAAAAAAAAAAAAAAAAAAGAGAAGGAACTTCAAGTCAAGTAAACTTCTACTTTGCCACTGTTTTCTTTCTCTTGCAATTTTCACCCCTCCGATCTTTGGTTTTTTTCATTTATATCCCCTTAGTATTTTCTTCTCTCGACAATAATCATACTCCGTACGAACTTTACTAGGAAAGTGTCACCGGAGCTGCAAAACGCGACTATGGCGGCCGAAGTAGCTGAAAAGAAGCCTACATTCTTCGTCGCCGTCCACGTCGGCGCTGGATACCACGCGCCATCTAATGAGAAAGCACTCCGATTCGCCATGAAACGCGCATGCCTCGCCGCCGCTTCCGTTCTCCAAAAGGTCAGCCTTCGCCTTTTTGCTAAATTAAAAATTGAATTTCGTTGCGCATTCTCTTTGGATTTATTCTTCAGTTTCTTGTCTGTTTCCTTTTTCTGACTCTTGATTTTGATTTCAGGGTCCTGGTGGATGTATAGATGCTGTTACGGCAGCAGTGCAAGTGTTGGAGGTAACTATGGTTTAAGAGTTTGATAACGATTCTCAATAAAATAAAACATCAAATTATGTTTGAACTATTGGTTTATACAAGCTAAAGGGCTGTTTTACCAAAGATGTACTGTAAAGATTGTGCTTATGTATAGAATTTGAGCTGACTTAAAGTTTGATTACTAATGTAATGTCATATAGCATTCTGCATTTCTAGAGCCAGATTCTGTTAATGGTTATGAGATAGCAAATTAGTAGTAGATTGCATATGTAGTGTTTGGTAGAAAGGACAGCATTTCAGAAGCTCCTCAAAATTCAAAAAGATAAAACTTTGCATTATTTGAGTTGGTAAAATAATTTGAATTCTAGTGGGGTTATTCGAATCTACAAATATGTAGACAGTAGACACATACAAAATTTGACTTAGTGGAAAGTTTAACAATAAAAACTTTTGTTGCTTGATGGTATTGTATGATGGGTTATTTATTGCAAAAGATATTAACCTATATAGCATGCATATCTAATCTTGATATATCCAAAAACTATTTCTAAAGATTTGATGAATAGTTGCGATATCCACTTTCAGGATGATCCACATACTAATGCTGGACGAGGTTCAAATTTGACTGAGGATGGTCATGTGGAGTGTGATGCAAGTATCATGGATGGTGATTCTGGAGTATTTGGTGCTGTGGGTGCAGTGCCAGGTATGCTCATACCAATATTGTACTAATAAAAAAAAAAATTGCAATTCATGTATTGGGCTTTAAAATGTTTGCTTTCACTTGTAATCACTATATATCTTTTGTGAAGTTATTATTATCAGGTGTTAGAAATGCCATCCAAATTGCTGCATTATTAGCTAAGGAGCAGATCTGCGGTTCAACACTGCTAGGACGTATACCCCCCATGTATCACTACTCTTTCAATGAACCACGAAGAACTCTTGTTGCATTTCATAAAACAAATCTAGTTCTCATTTGTTGTCTAAATGTGTTCTGAAGGAGCTTCCCTACCTTCTGTAGGTTTTTGGTTGGTGAAGGGGCTCGAGCATGGGCAAAATCCAAAGGTGTTGCTTTACCAGAAACAATAGCAGAAGCTGATGAGGTATTATTCCCCTTTCCAGTAATGTCTATATGAACACTGTCAAGTTTTCCTCCGTACATGCTAACTTGGTTGTTACATAACATGGAGCAAGTTAAAATCATATTCCTTCTGTTGGTGAGACAGTGGCTTGTGACAGAGAGGACCAGAAACCTCTGGAAAAAATATAAAGGAATGCTTGATGGAGCCAAAGCTGTTAATGATGTTTCTTCCACAACAGCCAATTCTGTGAAAACGTGTGCAGTATCAGGTATGAAGCTGGCATTAACTTTTGAGGTTGTTTTGACTTGAGTGGAATATAATTCTGTGGAAACTTGTGCTGTATAAGGCTATAAGCCTATAATGCTATATTATAATTCCATTTTTATGAATGGATTTGCTGTCTAACAAACGAGTCTGCATGTTTTGCTCTATAAATAGAAGCTCAACTGTGTGACAAATCAAATGGAAGCAGAGATGGTGACCAGTCTTCCTCGCAAAATGCCCTAGATGAGAACTGCATTAGTGACACTATCGGAGTTATTTGTGTTGACTCAGAAGGGCACATGGCATGTGGGGCTTCAAGTGGCGGTATTGCCCTGAAGGTGATGATTCCAAACTCACTACTTGCTAGATCATATACAATTACACAGGATTCTGGTTTTAACTGGTCTATGCCAGAAGTCTCATTTTTTTAATTTGTTATATCGAATAATCTATGCTCTTTTGGAATATCTATTTGCATTTCTAATGTAGAAGTTTTCCTTTATACTTTGAACATCTATTCACATTTTTCTTTTAAATACCATCATCGTGCTTTTTTGGTGTCTCCATATTTCATTCTGCTTGAATTAAAACATGAGTCATGTGCACTTCTAGGTCAGATTTAGTTCTCCCTACATTATTTCTAACCCCAGTCCACTAAAGAGTTTTTTAGTATGTGCTTCTGAAAATTTGACTCTGCTGTCTTCAATAGCTTTGTTATTTTTGGAAAGTGTAAGGAACTACTGCACTTCTTTAGATTTTGTATATGGATATAAGGCTATTTGTTTTCAGAAAGTTAATTCCAAAGTTTGGCCCTATTGAATTTTTCTCTAAATCCACAACAGGTCAGTGGACGTGTAGGTTTAGCAGCAATGTATGGTTCTGGTTGTTGGGCATCCTCAAAGGGACCGTTTGGAGCTCCTTTTATAGTTGGTTGCTGTGTTAGCGGTGCTGGAGAGTACTTAATGAGAGGATTTGCTGCTCGGGAATGTTGTGTATCATTATCAATGTACGTTTTGCCTCTGATCACTTTTAGACTACTTTTAGGAAAATGGATTAATTTGAACCAGCAGAAATCAATCTTACTTCTCTTTGACAGATCTCAAGCTGCACCAGCATCCGCCTGCTCAAAAGTTCTACGTTCTGTCAATCAAGAAAGCAGTAAATATGGCACTGAAAAAAGTGCTGGAATTTTAGTAGTTCAAGCTGAGGCTCCTCGAATGGTGAGTTACCATTGCCAAATTTTATTATCCTTTTCTCCCCTCCCCACTCTTTCTTTGTTAATATCTACTCAAAGCCTTTTGTGCTCACACCTACTGATTGCACTTAAGGATGCTACTGGAAACTCACCATTTCTGCAAGCCGTTGAGATCGCAGCTGCTTTTTCTTCCTTGTCTTTTGGAATTGGGTATTTTGGAAGCTCAATGGAGAAACCTAAGGTATCATCACTTCTCTACTTACATAATGCACTTAATGGACTTTTACGGTGGACAAAATCATTGCACAACTACCAAAAGTTGTATTCTGCATTATAAGCTTATATACTCATGTAGGTCAACAAAAACATAATTACTTGAGAGCCAAAATGCACTTAAACATTGATCAAAGCAATAATCATGTTATTTCTTCTTGTTTTCTTGTTCTTTCTCTGGGAAAAAGAATTCAGCTTTTACAGATAATGGTTGCGCTTAAGTTCTGATTATTCAAACTCATAAATGTGATTCCTCTTCCTCCTCTACAGGTTTCTATCCTTAGAAGTACAAGCAAGCAGAGCAAAACTGGGGTAGATGAGTTTGCAGCTCGAATTAAACTTGTAGCGTAGAAATGTGCAGGTGAATTGCTGTTTAGGCTTGCTTATTACAGAACTAGCCCAGTTCTCCAAGCTGTACTCGAACAATATTTTATATTTTTTGAAAGACATTATAATTAATTTATTACGTTTAAAATTAATAATTCAAGAATTTCATGAATGCATCAACAATAAAATCTGAGAATGGCACACTTAAGGGGTGTTTGGTAAATGGTTGTTAGTTGATTGGGTTATAATGGGTTTGATTAGTTGATAGAAGCTGATTGTAAAAAAGTATTTGGTAAATTAAATGTTAGTTGATTACATATAAAATGATTTTCTCAAAAAATTTATCAAAAAAATTGTTGAGTAACTTTTTAAATTTTAACATTTTAGAGTAATAAGTTGTTACAAAAAGACAGCTAATAGTGATCAAATAAGTTAAAATTGACTAATAGAATAACTATTTTACCACACACGACCTTAAGTCACAAACGCCCATTGTTATAGAAGTCAATAATATTATGTAACACACCAGAAGTGACCTGTATATTTACTCAACTGTGAAAAGAATAATAATTCCACAAATTGTACATATATATTTTATTACAGTCTGAAATTCTATGGAGCTGTTTAAATCGCACAAACATTTTTTTCTCATATATATCATTCAAAATTTCAACACGACCATTCACATGAGTGTGACAGTTGATGAATTTGATGGCTGTGATGCAAGTTGGTTCTTGGGTCTCCAGTTTACCACCCATCCAGATTATTTGCACTTGATGTTAGACCTAGCCAGTGAAGCAATGTCAAAATCTCATTTCAAGTTGTGAATTCGCTTGGCTGATATAAGTGTGTTGGAAAGAAGCATAGCTATAGTCATTGGCCCGACGCCTCCAGGAACCGGAGTTATAGCTGAAGCAACCTTGCTGGCCTCCTCATAGCAAACATCTCCTACAAGTCGATAGCCACGGGGATTTGTAGTGTCCTGTCAGGCACACAAGGGGTTTGGTTATAATGAAAATGAGGTGGTGACTGGTAAGTCACCACTATCCTTCATCAAATAGCTACAATGAACCAACTGATCAATTCTCATGGGATGGCAAATGCTAGTGTTGTGTGCATGTGTGAGAGATTCGAAAATTAAGAGCTTTTCCACACCTCAACTGGATTAATTCCAACGTCAATGATAACGGCACCAGGCTTGATCCAGCTACCTCGGACCATGTTTGGCTGCCCCACGGCTGCAATTATGATATCTGCTTGTTTTGTAATTTCCTCGGGGTCCTTTGTTCTGGAATGCACGATACTGACAGTAGCATCTTCCCTCTACAAGCAAAAACGCTCAAGGTGATAACATTGGAAAGGTGCAATATTGAACCAGAGGAATAGAGCGGAATGGTTGAGAAGGAAAGCTAAGTTTACAAAATGAAAAGATTCTTTGTTGGCAGAATATTTACTTGCAGAAGCAGAGCAGCAGGCATTCCAACAATATTACTCCGGCCAATGACAACAGCTCTTTTTCCCTTGATTCCAATACCATACCTATGCAGCAACTCGATGCATCCCTTTGGAGTGCACGGAACAAACAATGGTTCTCTACCCCGCATGGCCAGACGACCAATGTTCAATGGGTGGAATCCATCAACATCCTTCTCAATGCAAACAGCATTCAAAATGTTCTGCTCATTCATATGCTGATGATGAAGACCCAAGATTCATTTTAGATGACCATTCAAATATTCAATAAATCAATACATAAATTAACCAAACTGAAGGAATATATGAAAAGTTTATTTAGCCATGTCTATAACTATAACAAAAAATATATATCATACACAGGGCATACAAGGAGTTTAAGAATAGAAAACTATGCAACACTCCTTGAATATTATCCGGTAAAGATATCACAGGTTTAACAGCTTACCGAAGGTAGAGGCAACTGAACAAGAATACCATGAACTGAGGGATCATCATTGAAGCTGGAAATATGCTTAAGCACTTCCTCTTCCGTTGAATTTTCAGGTAAGCACACTTCGTATGACTTGATCCCCACAGCTTCACACGCCTTTTTCTTGTTGCGCACATAAGTTGCAGAATCCTTCCTTTCCCCAACCAGGATAACTGCCAGACCAGGGACAACACCTATAGCATCCTTCATCTTCGCTATTTCAGCACATATTTCTTCTTTGATTTCTTTTGAGACCTTTTTCCCATCAATAACATTGGAAGAGGGCTCAGCCGTCACTGAAGCTATCAATTCAGACAGCAAAATGTAAGAGGCCAAAATAAGGTCTCAATTCGCGAGATAACAAGTAGGGAAATGCTAGACATACCAACTTAAAAGCTTTTGAAATTCGATGCCTATCATCCATTACTTGGTAATAGAAAGATGCAAATTCAGTAAAGGTTTAGAATCTATTATCCGAAATGCTCTTCCAAACAATTTAATCAGATAAGTCCAATGAATTTTCATTCATCAGCTGAACTCAGCCGATTGAGATTACACTCAACCAATCATAACAAATAAATCGAGAACAAATTCTAGCTAATAACAATTAGCTTATTCTAATGGTTCATGCACAAGTACTGCTCTAAGCATTCAAAGAATTAGCAGAGTTTTAATTCAGGCGCCAAAACAAAGATACAACTCATACAACAAAACTACTGCACATTAAAAAGCGGGAAAAAAAGGTGTATAGTTTCATGTATTTACCGGTGACGGCGGATGAGCAGCAAAAAGCGGTGGCGGAGTTCGAAGAAGAAATGGAATCTCTGTGAGTGGTGATCGTCCTGCGGAAAGTGGAGCCAAGCTGGAAATGAAGGTGGCCGGGCTTGCTGAACGGAAGGACTCTAGCTGACACGGCAGCGGTCGACGACGGAGAGGAGTCAGTGAACCTCATCTTCATAAGAGCCATGGAGGACGTCGTCGTTGCGGCCATTGTCCTGTGACCAACGAGAAGACGAGAAAGATGCTTGAGTGTCAGACCTATGCTTGCAAGCTTTTGTTAAATGGTGTCACCATTTCACCATGGCTTCTAGTTAGGGTTTTAGAGCAGATATGGCAACGTAGCCCAGGCCAAACTGCCCGGCCCATGTACAATAATTCTTGGGTTGATAGTACGGTATGGTCCTATATCACCTTGTATGTAAATTGATAATTTGATATGGCATGATTCTATATATAGAAATCATGTATTGATTGAAGAGCTGTTATTCCATGGACCAGCCGAGCAAGATTCACCTTGCAAGGTGGACACTGATTCTAAACAACGTATAAATTGTGTAATTTTAATAACACATTCGTAGTAAAAATATTGTGTGAATGCAGTATTTGAAAGGAACTTGTGAATACAAAACAAGACAATCAATTACATATATTTGTTAACAGTGTGTGTTTGTAATATACAAATTGTGAACTTTTAAAAGAAAAATTGTGAACATTTGGACTGAGATCTACCTTGTAAGGTGGATCCAGGTCCACGGAATAATTTGGGTTGTTATTTACCTCTCTTATGTAATTTGTAAGCTAAAACACAAAATCCAAATTTATCCGATACACGGTCATATAATAACTGTAAGTTTCCCTCTTCTCCTGAGAGAAAACAAAAAAACAAAAAAAAACAAAAAAAAAAAACAAAAAAACCAATATATGCAAGCAATTGAGTGATCAAAGGTTCAAAATTAAAGGTGGAGACATGGCCTGACCAAGCATAGCTCAAACCATTTTAATCTCTTTATGTGCTTACGATGAAAAGCTGTGAGCCAGAGTAGTTCAGGTAAAATCTGCAAAGCCGCAATACTTTGCGCATAAATGTCCCTTTTTAAAAAACACAGGACCAAAAATGTGAAATCTAGCAATCACCTACATACTAAGCCGAACAAGAGTGAGTTCTCATGTCAAAGTTTGCCTCTTCTTTACTGTACAATTGTAGCAATGGGACAAAACTCAAGAAGGCTGGCTATACAGTACTTCAAAAGCAGCATCTTCTTCTCCCATTTCTTTCTTTATTCTGTTTCACACAGAGCGCGATCGGTGTTATATTGCCAGCGCTCCTTCGCCCTCGTCTGAAGAGTCTGACTGCTGGGCTTTGGGTTTATTAACGACTCGAGAAAATCCATATCCAAGAGAGCTTCCAGAAGTTTGACACAGCTACAAAAAGTTCAATTGGGTGTCTTAGTCCTAAAACCTTTCTGGTTTCTAGCTCATAGAGATATCTTATTCGAAACACAATTGAATGTAGAGGGGCGCGATGAAACTATATTGTACCTCGGTTAGCTCAGCTAGGTGGCGGGACCTGAACTCATTGATCGTTGCCGTTATCTCTGACATTGGCAGTTTAGCCTGAAAACAATAAAAGAAATTTATTATTATATATAAAGAACTTGATAGCTGAAGATGCTTGTTTTGGGGCATTGGGCATTAACAATGGACCAAAATGATATGCCTCTAGCAATTTTACTTACTTCTACAAGGACAGCAGCCGCTAACTGCAAACTTGGTTCCAAGGTCTCCGGTACAACCTAGATATCAAAATTTTATGATCAACATCAATTGTGAAATTTGGAAATCACTTAGAGTGTGAAAAATAATGAAATTTTCTTATTTTCTATGAGTGATTTATTATTTGAAAATGTGGTCTGAAAAGCAATAGAAACATATAAATAATGAAAACAGAAGTATTTAAGTCCAAATTTATGAAGTCATCCCAAGTAACACTAAAATGTGGGAGTGAGTCTCATTATGGAAAAGATCATTGTCAAAGAAAGATACCGCTGTTGCTCCGGCCTTTTCCAAGTTTAGGCCATGGTCAACATCATGGGCGCGCACAAATGTTTTTATATTAGGAAAATACTTGTTCAAGGCCCACACAGTTCTGTAATTTGCACCGGGAGTATCCAACGTTATTGCAGCAGCACAAGCCCTATGAGCACCTACTTTATGGAGTACCTAGAAAACAGAAACACAGAGAACTCTGACAACTGTATCTCCATGTCCAGGAAACAACATTAAGTTGTCTTATTAGCCTTACCTCTCGACTACCAGCATCACCAAAGTATACAGGAAGATCAAGTGCACGTCCAACAGCAACCCGATCACTGAAATAATAGAAGTTTGAAAAACAATTTTTAAAAACTAAATAACTGCCAACAAGAAAAGATTTTTTTTTCAATATATATATATATATATATATATATATATTGAACTATTGATCATCACCCATGTGGCCATATCTCATAAAATAAGTTTCATTCATTATCTTGATTTTCATTTAAATTTTGACACCCATATACCATAGTTTCAAAAAAAACAAAAGAGGAATATAGGAGAATGCTACCCTTCATCAACTTCTGCATACTCATAAGCATGTACAATGAACAGATCAATAACAGTAAAAGAATTCTCTCTGGTGAGATACTAAATTTATCATTTAAAGAAAAAAAAAAACAAAAAAAAACAAAAAAAGAGAAGCAAAAAAGCTACCTTCTCACATCAAGTGCAACAAATGGAATCAGTCTTTCAGAAAGAAGCTGGGCAATGATCTGTGATGATTAAAAATAATAAAATAAATAAATAAGGCAAAGAAAAGGATTTACAACTGGCACAAAGAACTAGGAAGCCGCATTCTTGAAAAATCTGACATTTAGCTCTTTACAAGTTCATGAATTAAGATAGTGCAACACCTGGCCAACACGTCCAAATCCACAAATAATAATATGATCTTGCAAATCGTCAGTCTGAAAAAATGCAAAAATAATTTAAAACAAATTAATAGTGATCATGTATGGTATTTTAGCATACTACTTCAAAATGACAAAATTGTCAGCTATAAACTAGAACAAGTTATCAGCAACAAGCAAAGGATTAGATGATTTACCTCACTTTCCACAGGTAACAAACTTCGAACATCCTGAAGCTCGAAACGAGAAGCTATTACTTGGCCTGCAGCAGCCAACCATGGAGTGATGGCCATAGAAATTCCCACCACAAGAAATAGCAGAGATGACAGTTGAGAAGACATTATACCCTGAAGAAAATTCAAATAAGCAGAAAGAAGAAACTTTTAAAACAAAAAACAAAAACTTGATTCCTGCTCATAATTGTAGTTTTCAATGGTTCTGCCACTGTTTATACATGTCAAGAACATCAGTTACAATCATTTTGATGGAACCAACAGCTACTTGCCTATAAACACAAATTTGCATTTAAGCAAGTAATCTTACATATTTTGACTACCATTGCCTTGAGCTGCAAATTTTGTTTATCCGTGTATGAGAGTTATTTTATATTATTTAAGTAGATTCAAATGTCTAAGCGAAGACCTATTAGATTCAAAGTAGTCCTTCAAGATTGAATAACAGAGAAAAGTAATGTAAACGGGTTTCTACTATATATAACAAAAAAAATATACTATGGAAACTAAAATGCAGCATGCTGCCAGATGATATTACAATCAGCTGAAAAATGTAGTTTAAAGGAAAAGATGATAGAACAATTGGCAGATCAATTGTATGCACACTGTTGAGACAAATAGCAACTGACGGAGTGAACCTGATTAACAGCTTCACCAAAGGCAACGAATGCAAATTCTCCACCTGGGGCCAGTAGCAGACCAACTCTTATGGCAGATATGATTGAAATGCCAAAAAGTTTGCCAACTAAAGCAACCAAAATTGTTTTTCCACCAATTAGAAGTCCTAATACCCCCATAATAACTGGAAAGTTTGAGAGAAGAAGCTTGGGATCAATAGACATTCCAACCTGGAAGTAAGATAAAAAAAATGGCTGTGAGTTGCAGTTACAAACTTACAACAGTCAACAAAGCCCTATTTACAATCTTAAATACATGAATAAAATATTCAGCAGGAAATCAGATGCTTTAAGTATACAAAGGTGACTGAAGTTGCAGCAGCAGGAAAAGTATCATCACAAGGCAGAACTGCAGAAAGCAACAATATCTATACCACTAAAACTTTAAAGATTGATGAAATGTAAGCTTTTGCCCTGGAATTCCTTATCAATACACATACATGGATTTAAGAGACAAACAACTAAAGCACCCACCGTCATGAAAAAGAGACCCAAAAGGAGGCCGCGGTATGGAGCAATATCTGACTCAACCTGCAGTGAAAATTCAGTCTCTGCAAGAAGCAAACCAGCCAAAAATGCTCCTAGAGCCATTGAAAGACCAGCCTGTTTATCAACAACAAAAAACAGCCATTAGTGCTTCAACAAGTTGGTTACTAATAAAATAAGAACCAGTGATGCCCTACCCTGGCAGTTAGAAGACTTGTACCAAGAATTACAAGAAGCGTATTAGCTGAGAATATTTCGGCATTCTGATTCTCTGCAATTTGCTTATAAATTGGCCTAAGAAGCTGTAGATCATAGTCAAAAACCAAAATGTAAATGTTCAAATATGCACTATACTTCACAACACAGCCCAAAAAAATCCAAAGGAAAATCTAAATAAATTTGCTTAAGATGGAGAAATTTTCATATTGCTTTTAGAATAAGTTTCTCAAAGATTTATAGTGGCAAGGATTAAGACAACCTATCCTATGATTGAGTTCCAGAACTTGCTATCTCATATAGCTTACCAGACGTCCTCCAGCAATAATGGCAGCAATAGCAACAATTGCTTTTACAGCAGCCAATCCAAGGGCTTCAGCTATGGCCCGAAAACCAACCTGAGGACCATAAGCAGCTTGTAGAAACAATTTAATAACAAAAGTTACAACAATCATAAGCAAGCATATAAGGTGTCAAGTTTTTCTAATATACTAATTGAACCCAATGTGGCCACAAGTCTGTAACTGTGGAAACCAGAAGAAACTATTCATATGGATAGTTGTTCGAACATAGAAGGCTGAAAGAAGCCAGTAAAAGTGTATATGAAAATATTGACCAGAGAAAACCACAAATGTCAGTGAAAAGGACTTTACCCCTCCTTTAGATGAATTAGGTGAAATAAGAGGTATGAGTATGAGCAAAACAACCACTGCCAAATCCTGAAGAGAAGAAAAAAGGGGTCAATTAAAATAGGTAGAAGTAAGGACCTATAAGACAACACATATATGTACAAAAAGAATGTAGGAATGATGAGGTAACAAACATAAATCTGTAAAACATTGGGAATGACCATGATAAGGCTTCAATACATTTCAAAAACTTGCATCCTTCAAGCATGAGGATACCTGGAAGAGTAATACAGAAAATGTGGCCCGTCCATGCCGTGATGTGCTCTCACCACGCTCCTGCAATACCTGCATATATTCCCTTTACATTCAATCAAACAACCCAAATATGGTATTCACCACTAAATGCACAAATTTATCAAAATTCAGATAAACTAAATGAAAGCTTCTCCATTTATCTTTGTGTTTTTGTTTATCTCTTTAGTGGAAAGTGGTGGTGGTGGGGGGGGGGGGGGGGGGGGGGGGGGGGGGGGGGGGGTCTCTAATGGTGGAGCAAAAGCAAACAAAATGCAGCAGCCAATTTCAAAGGTTTTTAGTACATTGAACTGAAATCAGGCAATCAATAAATGCATGGAAAATTAGGTTGCTCATATTAAACTCAAGGAACAAACTTATCACATAAGAACACCATAAAGTTCAACTTTACCACATAAAATTTACACTTTATTAGACTAGATAAGAGTAAGCATATTCCAAGTTTTCAAGGGACTCATCCAAGGCAGACTCAAACTAGTAGTCAATAGTCATCAACCATAACTTAGCTTTGGCATCAGCACATTGAGTTAGGGATAGGCAACATAGGGATTTGTATACCAATCACCTCAGGAAAAACCTATAAATGTGCGTGGAACTTACCTGGAGAACAACAGCAGTGGAGGATAATGCAAGACCATTTCCAATGACAATTGCAGCAGGGCCTGGCTGTGCAGCAACAAGATGAGCAACCATGCCAACCACTGCAGCTGTCACTAATACCTACATTTGTTTTTGCACATAATATAGGACATCCAAAAGTTTAACATATTGACTTCATTTAAAAAGGAAGTGTATATTAACAACACATTGACAAAATATTTTAATTTGCCATCACCTGAGCAGTACCCAAACCAAAAACATATTTCTTCATGGAACTTAGCCTCTCAACAGAAAGCTGTCAAATATAGATGAAAGCAAAGGTGAAACTCCATACCCAGGGGTTAAGACATAAAGTCCTTGACTCCTTGCAAAATAGGCTGCTTACTAATTTGTTTTTCATAGACATTACCTCAAGGCCAATGTTAAATAGCAAGAAGACAACACCAAATTCAGCTATTGCCTTGGTTCCATGTACATTACGAATAATAGAAAGACCGTAAGGTCCAATCAAGATGCCAGCAGTCAAGTATCCGAGAACAGGGCTACCTGAATATTAAACAACCCAGAGAAAACCATAAATAGGCAATTATAATGCCAAAAAACATATATCCAGGTTGGGAAAACATGCAGCAAGAAAATTTTCCTCAGAAAGGAGTACTCTTAGACAAGGACAAAAGTGTACCAAGCTACATAATGCTGTAGGATATCAAGAAAGTAAAAACAGTAAGCCAATAGGGCATGAAAAATATGGCAATAGAGTTGCTAATCTGGTAAGAAGGCATAGAACTTCAATTACCTCCAGGGAGTTTTTGGAACACAGGAACAAAAATAACACTAGCAAGCAGTAGCCACAGCATGTCAAGAAGGGAAGCTTCTTCCTCATTTATCTATGAAGAGCAGAGAGCAACATTATGAAATAATAGAATGCATATGCATACACCAAGACTTATTCACAAATACAAGACATTCAAAGAAAATAAACATTCAATGATGAGATTAAGATAGCTTAAATAAAAAGAATATTCAAGGTCATGCCTCTTGATGAGGAAGCTTTTCAAGTAGTTTCTTAATTTTCTTAGGCAGCTTCCTTAGTTGCCGGACTAGAGGCTTTGTGTTTGTTGAAACCTCATGAATACTAGTAGTACCGATGTCTGGCTGTTGGAATAATCTAGAAATCCGCTCAGACCGATTGAAATAGAAGGCAAACCTGTAATAGATTTCAACCTCATATCAAATTCCAGTAACCACAGAAAATTATAGCAACGTTCTGATGCAGAAAATTTAACTCAAGCAGGCAAAAGTTAAGTACTAGTATATTTACTGTTAGTACAAGAACAAACACAACAAGAAGCTTGAGTTATCAGTAATTCTAACCCTGCTCCAAGTAGCAATGAGCTGACCACCAATTTAGGTAAGTGCTTCCTAGCTGACTCCATTACACCATGAAAAACAGAAGCTCGTGTGAATTCATCACCATCTGCAGAAGAGGAGAAGAAGGACGCAGAAAAGAAACGGGATGACTTTTTCAATAAAGCTTTTGGAGCATTTAATGGTGAGCTATCCCTGGCTAATTCCTTAGGCACTTCCTGTTTTTTACTCTGAATGTTAGTTGATTTTTCTGAATCCAGTTCACCATCTTTTGAAGAGTCTGGAATGAAGCTATCATCTTGGTCACTTGCATCAGATAAGTGAGATTCATCAAATCTATGGCCACCTATATCCAACAGGGTGTCTGCTAAAGGCTCAGCAGTTACCTGGGCATCCTCAACTGATACCTCTCCATGCTTTTCACCATTGGCTGGATTTCTTTGGTTCACCTCACCCTCAAGAACTATCTCATCAGCCAATGCCTGTCCTCGTGAAAATCCATTTGTAGCCTCTGTGGGATCGATAAATGAAATTGTTAGATTCTTCTCAGCTTTCTGTATGGCGATCTCCACATCATTAACATGCTGTGTAGCTTCGAGTTCAAATGCAACAGCTTGCTCTGCTAATAGCATTATATTTGCCACATCTTCCTCAGCTTTGAGAGCATTCATTTGTGCTTGCTCTGCAACCTCATTCAACCTGTCAATTTCCTTTTGCAGCTCTTCCTTCCTGTTCTCTAACTGCCTCAGGTCAGCTTCACAATTGGCTAAATGATCTCGGCATTTTTCCACATCTTCAAGAGCAGCTAAAAGTGTTTCCTCCTCTTTTGATGATGCTGGCACTTCCTCTTTGCTTTCTCCGGAAGTTTCTAGGGACCCATTCCTTTTTGCAACTTCCAATGAATCCATTGCCACCTGGAGCCTTGCCTCAGCCAAAGAAACTGCCATGGTTGCTTTTTGTACGGCTTCTTTAGCCACAGCTTCTTCATTTAGTGTCTCTTGGATACTATTGAGAGCCTTGTTAACATCATTCCAGGCACTTGCTGCTTCATCCTTCAAAGCTATTGCCGCTTCTGATATCCTCTGAGCTTTCTCCTCAAACTTGGTGCTATTAAGCTGTGCAACCTCCAAGTCTGTGAGTGCCTTCTGCAACAATTCCCTTAAATCCTCCAAACTAGGTTCTTCTGTTTCTTCATTAATTTCCACAGATTCATCGTTCAAACTACTAATTTCCGCAATGGCATTAGTCTCAGTTCTTGAACTCCCATCACTACCATTTTCAATGGATTGAACATCTCTACCATTACCATCAATATATGCTAGTGAATCATTTCCTTGACACTGAGACAAAATTTTTCCCCTGTATGTCTTAAGACAGATACAGTCTCCACATGTACTAGAATTCCACAAACAATAATTGAATAATAACCTAGAACTGTTAGCACTTACGTTCCTACTGGCACTGCCTCGCTTCAAATTCTTAGTTGATGGACTTCTTAACATAAATCTCAGGTTTCCAATAGGTTCGCAATTAAAACCCACATGATTTAACCTCAGCCTCGTGTTTGGTCGTTCAAGTATTACCACAGCTTCATTACAATGTGCTACATTTGGCTGGTAAAGACAATAAGAAAATCCCATTCTTCTACTCTAATTTAATATGTGAAATGGACAAAGTTTAACAAAACAATACAGCAACACCTGAACTCCCTGAAATCAAACATGAAACACCTGGTGAAAGAAATGCACTATTTCAAAACAAATACTTCCAAAAGTTAGGCATTCGAAACAATGAAGAAATACATTTCCCTCCAAAACTTGAATGACAGATTCCTAATATAAACACCAATTACATAAATTTTTTAGTACATCTAATTGGGAATGGTGACAATGGGATTCAAATCCATATCTACTACTTGAAAAGTGTAGTTTACTCATTACTGTCAAGCTATACCCTAAACCCCCACCCTGTTACAATAAATCCCAATTGCCAACCACCACAATCTACCATCTTAAAGCATGTGCTTATGCCCAACCAGATTTAAAACACTTTGTGTGTGTGTATTTATCTGTATCCAATGTATACTTAAATTGCATGATTGTGAGCATACTTCTTCACGTATCTATATATAATCAGTATGTCGGCATAACAAGTTCCTACTTGCAAATGCACTCAACCAAGCTAGCAATTAGCAAACAAATTTGTGTCTACCGCGGTATGATCTCAATGTGAGTCACAACGGAAATAGAAACACTAGTATATCTTCTATTCAACTATATTGAACAGAACCAGTTCACGCACACAAAAGTGTAAAACAAACACACTACATATCTGTTTCTACAACTGCATACGCCTATATGAGTAAGCAAATAGTCAAATATAATAAACTCAGACGCAGGAGCTAATCAACGCCGGTGCACGATAGACAAACAAGTGTTGACAGTGAACGAGAAATCAAACTATCAAAGTAGTGAACTGACCGAGGATGGACGAACCGCCGCGACGAGAGAACCGAAGGTGAACGGAGGGAAAATCAATGGCGGAATTACAGAGGGAAATTTGATGTTTAGGTCAGAAAATGATTGGACTATTGCGGGGATTGACGTGGCTGACGGCTCCTCGCATTGCCGAGCGCTCCGTTTTAAAATATTTCATTCAGCAAATCAGCAGAAATGATTCACTCGAGTGATCGCTAGTAACGTTCTTATTTTGATCGTTTAAAAAAGCTCGTTTATGAAAAATACAAATCACAAGTTTTTTTTTTTTTTTTACAATACAATTTTATTAAGAAACATCCCTCTGAGTTGAAAAAATCTCTAAAATTACAAGAGTTTATTTAGCAAATATAATATTTTTATTTTCATGATTTTTAACATTACTAAAAAAAAAATTCTAACAAAAAAATAGAGATGAACCTAATAGAAAATAATATGATGAGTCACTAAGTTATTGTGTACATTATTATTTCAAACGAAAGGTTATGATGGTGTGTGATATAATACTTTGGATAGAATGTAAATACTTGATGGATTCATTCTCATTGTAAAATGCATTTAGCTTGCATTATATGTACTTTGTAAAACTCATATAGCTATGTTATGTGTCGAGATGAATTTATATTGGGATTTGTATGATTTCTCGTTGTTAGGTCTTCACCAATTTGACGTATTGACTGGGTGATATAACAAATTAAATCAATGGTAAGAGTAGAGTTATATAATGTTATGAGATGGAGATCGAATATAATATGAGTGTTTGATGGAGTGAACTCAAGATAATCAATGTGAAAGCTCAACTTATCTAACTCTAGATGGTAAACTAGTCCTGATCAGTTTACGCTACTATGCTAGTACAAATTGTAGTATGAAATAAAAGATAATTTTGAGTATGCAATATGAGCCATATTTATACGTAAGCTAACAATCATTGATATAATATGAATAACGTGTTTGTTAGTCTTCTCAACCACACATGATCAATCAAGTACTTAAAAATACTAGTCTTTTTATGCATATTTTATTAAATTTATTGTTTAAGTTGTTAGGCAAATTGAATTATCCCATACTCTCATCATAATCTCTCTCTTTTGTTGTTGTTCCTCTGTCTTACTGTAACTAAAAAAAGTTTAGGTGTATGTCATGTGATGGATAAGTTGATAATATAATTACGGAGTAACTTAAATGAAATATTGGTATGAAAGTATCTTGTGCTGATCATATGATACTTTTGTGGTTCTCTTTGAGTGAAAATAACAGGATTAAACACAGTGATGATATTGACTCTTTTGAGCTACAACATATATAAAAAGTACAGAATATATAATATCTTGTAATAGTTAATAGTACTCGAAAAAAGAAAAAATTAAGATGATGTAAGCCGAGGATGGATGAAAGTCAATGGTTTTACATAAATATTAAATGGACGTGAAATTGAAAAAAAAAAAAAAAAAAAAAAAAAAAGAATAAGGTTCAAATTGGCCACTGAACGTAACCTGAAAATGCAATTAGGTCACTGAACGAAAAAAAAAGTGCAATTAGGCCACTGAACACTCCAAAAATGTGCAATTTCACCTGATAGCAGGTTACCCTCAATTTTAGCAGGTTATCTGCTTACGTGGCAGCTGAGTTGGCATTTTTAATAAATTTTAATAATAATTTTTTATTAAAAAAATTTTTTTTAAATAAAAACGACTTTATTTTATTTTTTATTTAATTTTTTCCAAATTTTTATAAAATTTATTATTAAAATTAATTATTAAAAATTATTTAAAAATTATTAAAAATGCCAACTAAGCTGCCACGCAAGCAGGTCACCTGCTAAAATTGATGGTAACCTGCTATCCGGTAAAATTGCATATGTTTGGAGAGTTCAGTGGCCTAATTGCACATTTTTTGAGTGTTCAATGGCTTAATTGCATTTTTTTTTTTCGTTCAGTGGTCTAATTGCATTTTCAGGTTACGTTCAATGGCCAATTTGAACCTTATTCCAAAAAAAAAAAGGACTGGTAAGTGGAGTGAGAGTGGGTGTACGTAAGAGGTGGAGTGAAATATACATATTTTGGATCCTTTTAGTAATAAATAATTTATTTTGATGGTTTTAGAGCTTGAACGAAACTACACTAGTCTCATTTTACAATATGAAAATATTAATATAATATGAAAAAGGATAAAATTAGTTCATAGTTAGCGGAGACAATGTTATTGTGAATAGGAATATATTACACCCATGATTTATTTTGATGTATTTCACTAATTATTTTTTTAAATACTATTGACTCTATCATAGTGTAATATTTACTTCTTTTTTTTTTTTTTTTTTTTGGGTTTTAATAGTGTAATATTTACTTATACATACATTCTCAATATGAAGAACAAAGAGTCAATATACAACAACAATCAGTTACTCTAAAAAAAACACAACTTGAATTGAGCAATTTGAAACAGTTAGTAAAAGAATTACTAATACAATTACAATGTCGGATTGCTTTGTACCAACTTTTTTCGAGGAAGAGTTTAATTGTATTTTTTTTAGGAAGAGTATAATTGTAATCGGTGGATATATAATTGATATTAGCAAAGTGCCAATCGTTATACCCTACACCACGGTGCGCGTAGCACTGTGCGTCGCGCGCCACCCAAAACGACGTCGTTTTGGGGTTGTTTTGGGAGGCGCAGTAGGAAGTTGCTATGATTATGTATATTTGTTCACACAATTATGTATATTTGTTCATACAATTATGTATATTTGTTCATACAGTTATGTACATTTTTTATACAATTTTGTACATTCTTTTTATACAATTATGTACATCCGAATCAGAAATTTTGTATGTATTATGTTAAGAGTTGATGTGTATTATGTTAAAAGTTTATGTTTATTATGTATTATGTTATATTATGTATATTATCTTTTAAAAAGAGTATGTATATTTTGTTATATAATTATGTACATTCATGTATACAATTATGTGTATTCTAATATAATATTACGTACATTTTTTAACATGTGTTTTTTTTTAAAGAAAAATTAATTACCATACACTGATGCGGGAAATTTCAAAATAAATAAATAAATAAATAAAACGACGTCGTGGTTGGACTAAATGGAAGGTTATGAGTTCAAGCCTCAGTGGAGGCGTTATTGGCTCTTTGTGTTTCAGTGGGTTGAGAAAGTATATGAACAGATACTACAATGTAATGAGCTAGTAGCATTCAAAAAATAAAAATAAAACGACGTCGTTTTGCATTTGGGCGCACAGTGCAACGCGCGCGTGGTGTAGAATATAAATTGCCGCAAAGTGCAATATGGCCCAAAATTTGTTAAAGATCTCCATTACAACATCACGTACGTGACTTTGAGAACTAGGAGTAGGTTATAAGCTACCACGAGCACACCTTGCCACCTACCCCAAAGGTCAAAACCAAACACAAAATCTATATATATCCAACAAACCTTGGGGAGAAAAAAAGATGTTATATTCTGTTTTATTTAATGAAAAGTTTAATCATAATCGGTAAAAGACCACAATAAAGTAAGGGTGTGTTTGATTTGCATATAGGAATCGAAATCGGAATGGGTATCAAATACTTTGTAATGGTAATGGATTTTGGTGAAAGTATTTAAGATGTTTGATAGTAGCTAGGGTGGAATATGAATGATTATTAATAGTAGTGTTTGAGAATGAAACCCTTATTTAATTTGGGTATGGATTTTTCAATTGATAGGGTATTTAAAACCATAGTAATGTTCTAAAAACCTATCAACCAAACAACGACAATCACTTTCATACACATTTTTATGGGTAAAACCCACCAACCAAACACACTCTAAATCAAATTATGTTTTTCATTGTTAATCGATTCAAACCTTGAAGGTCATCAATGACAAATTCTATAGGAATTGATTTGTAATATTGTGGTTACAAAGTCAATTATTTAAATTTTTAATAAATTGTGAGTTTTATTTTGACATGTATTTAACTAGTTAAGTCATATGCGGTATTCCCATATTAAAGAAATATAGATCTTTTGTGTACACCGGCATTTGGATGTATCTACTGAGTCATTAGTCACCATAGTAACATCTTTCCAAATACTATGTCGGGTTACAGTGTGGGAACCCTTGAGGTTGGAGATTCAACATTTTTGAGAGAAGAATAAATACAGAGTAATATTATATTTATTTTTGTTATTGTCAAATTATATAAGTCAAATATGAAATAGTGCAGTTTTAAAATGGTTGGGATACTCAATGCTATTTTGTTTTTAAAAAATAAAAAGAAATTAAGTGATCGTTATTCAACTTTAAGCTAAGGGCCAATTGTGTCAAGTAACAATAGTTATGCCGTGCAACCGAATGTACCATGCGCATGGTGCATACGATGCAAAATGACGCCGTTTTGACTAAAAACGCGCGTCCTACTTAAAAAAAAAAAAAATCAGGTTTGATTCTCGGCAATAGCATTATTGTGGATATATAGTTATGAATTTCTGGATATATAGTTATAAATTTGTGGATATATAGTTATGAATTTATGGATATTTAGTTCATTCATTGTGGATATTTAGTTCATTCATTGTAGATACTTATTTCATTCATTCATTGTGGATATATAGTTATGAATTTATGGATATATAGTTATGAATTTCTGGATATATAATTATGAATTTATGGATATTTAGTTCATTTATTGTGGATATTTAGTTCATTCATTGTGGATTTTTACTTCATTCATTCATTCATTGTGGATATTTACTTCATTCATTCATTCATTGTGGATATTTACTTCATTCATTCATTCATTGTGGATTTTTACTTCATTCATTCACTGTGGATATATAGTTATGAATTTCTGGATATATAAAAATGATATTGCCAGGAATCGAACTTGATTTCTTCTTTAAGTGGGACGCGCATTTTTTTTTTATAACCAAAACGGCGCCGTTTTGCAACCGTATGCACCTTGCAAGGTGCATTCGGTTGCACAGCATAATTTGCGGTCAAGTAAGGCCATTGAAAGACAAAACCAAAGAGAACTAAAACAATCATTATTGCATGGACCATAATATATTAATGGTACATTATTTATGTACGTAAAATATATTTTTTAAAAGTACATTTTTAATATACAAATAATGTACCTTCAGTACAAAAATAATGTACTTTTAATATATTAAAAATGTATCTAGTATTCATGGTCC